GTAAATGCTGCCAGGTTACCAAAACTTAGTGTTGGTAGGTATTTCCAAGGTCATCGAGTTCACTCTCCTCTCTCCCTCCCTCCTTTCCTCCCTTCTTTGCCTCCCTCTCACCTTTCTTCTCTCCTTCCTTTGTTCCTTCCCTCCTTCTCTCCTTCCTTCCTTCCTTCCTCATACTTTACCCCTAAATCATCACTTTTAAGATTTTGTCTTCTTAAAAATATGAGGAACACTATAAGGACCAATCAAAGGATGTCTCTGTTCCATCGTTATTTCTGGCAGCAACATCACGAAATGGATTTTATGGAAAAAAAAAAAAATCTAATTGTATTAACTCTTCCTCTACCCAATTTAATTATTTTTTTGTAAAGGGAAATTTGTCATTTCAAATTGGAAGATTTGCCCCAGTCCTCACTAAAATGAGTTTCCCACCCGCCCCCCACCCCAGTTTCTCTGTGAGTAATAAGTATGTTGTCCCGTGCTAAGACTGATTCATTCATTCTGTGAGCACTTAGTGACCCCTACTATGTACAGCTCTCTGTGCTAAATACAGAAATGGGACGAGATTTGTCGAGAGTGGTCTCTGTCTTCAAGGAGCTAAAGATGAGCCTTAAGAGGAAACTGCAAGCTGGGCTCAGTGGCTCAGGCCTGTAATGCCAGCACTATCAAGCCGAGGCAGGTGGATTACTTGAGGTCAGGAGTTTGCGATGAGGCTAACTAACATAGTGAAACCCCATCTCTACTAAAAATACAAAAATTAGCCATGCATGGTGGTGCATGCCGGTAGTCCCAGGTACTTGGGAGGCTGAGGCAGGAGAATCACTTGAACCTGTGAGGTAGAGGTTTCAGTGAGCTGAGATTGCACAACACTGCACTCCAGTCTGAGCAAAAGAGCGAGATTCCATCTCAAAAAAAAAAAGGAGGAAACTGCAGAACCTAAGTTTTAATAACCACTGGAACCCCTAGAGCTAAGCAAAGAACTCTAGGAATTCAAAGGAGATAAGTTTATGTCTCAGGAGCTCACGTAGAAGGGTAGGTGGGGTTTGGACAGACAGAAACAGGGAAAGACTGTAGTATCAGAGGTTGCAATAAATGGATACAGTGGGCATCTGTTGCGCCCAGCAGCTTTCATTCTATCTACTCAACTTTCTATTGAGGAACTACTTAAATCCCCTTATTCCAGTCTTGGTAGAACTGATAGGCCGCCTTGCCCTCTGCATGTCAAGAGGTGAACATACTATGCAAGCAAGGACATTCATAGAATTTTTGCCAGGAATTTGATCAGAATGAACCAAGGAAAGAGAATAGAGCTGCTCAAGACTCTTCTTTAGCAGAGACTGTCAGTAAGGTCCTATTCCCTTGGTACCCTGGGCTACTCCTGATACTGTCTTTCCCAAGCTGGGTGGCTCATTTTTGTCCACTGACTCTATGAACCACCCCACATTATTCTAACAAATTCTCTTTTTTGGCTTAGTTTAGCTAGAATCACTTCTGTTGCATTCAGCCAGAGACCCCTAAATGGTAGATTAACAAAGACTTACAGAAGAAAAAACATTTGTTTGGGTGGCAATGAATAGTCTGTCTGTAGGCTGCATACTAGAAAGCTTGTAGTTGGAAATAAAGTTGGAAAGGATGCTTGGCTCTGGAATGTGGGGGACCTTAACTGCTAAGCTCAACGGATCCATCAAAGCCAAATTTTAGAAAGATTAAGTGGGAGAAGGAGCAGGGAAACCAAGGCGGGTAGTAACGTAGCTTCTTTTTAAAATTCTTGCACTGTCTTGCATTATTTATTTAACTTACCTTCATGATGCCAAGTTTTTGGAAGCTCATTATATATGCCAAGTTTTTGGAAACTCATTATATATGCCAAGTTTTTGGAAACTCATTGTATATGCCTATACTCATTATAGTGTAGGACTGTAAAGATGATTAAGACATGGTTCTTGTCTTCCCAGAACCCCTAAGCTGAAAGATTGTTCATGTGAGGGATAAATCAATAGGATTACATAAGAGTTATAGATATTTTATGTACAAGAGAGTGATTAACTCTTATGTTGGGTTAGGAAAGTCTTCAAAGAAGTGATGATTTCTAAAGAGACTTTTGAATAGAGATTTGCCAGGTGGGCCTGGTGGAGATGGGCATAAGCATTGGGATTACAGGATTGAAGGCCTGGAAATATAACAACATTAGAGATAAAGATTTAGGATCATAAATACATAATATGGTCGTTTTAAAATAGATGAAATTGCCCAGGGACATAGACGATAGTTATAAAAGAAGAAAGCCAAGGACAGCACTCCAGGGAACATGAGCAGTTAAAAGATGGCCTGACAAATACAATGCCTAGCAGAGGACGGTGAGATAGGAGTGAGCATTCAGGAGAATTGCCACACCAGAGTGCCATGGGAGCCGGTAGAGGAGAAAGTTACAGGATGGGAGGAGAAAGTGTAAGAAGCCACAAGATTAAATAAAAACAGGACCTAAGAATGTTTATTAGTTTGGGGAAAGGAAGGGCTGTTAATCTAGTGAGAGTAATTTCAGTGGAATGGTGGGGGCAGGAATTAGTTTACAAGGAGTGGATAGGGAGATGAGGAGGGGAAACAGAGTCTACCCTTGCTTTCAGGAAAACTGGCTGGTGATGAAAGGAGAGGGATATTAGCAAAGGGGAATACAGGTCAAGGGAGGCTTCTTTCTTTGTTTTGTTTTGCTAATGAGAAAAACTGATGCTTATTAGTCCTGGAGGTCTGTGGCATGGACTTTCCTATCAACTGAATACCTTAAAGAGAACAAGCTGTTCCTTCTGATATGTAAATACACAGTCTCACTTTTGATCCAAGATAGGCCTGTTTTATTCTGTATTTTTCTCTATCACAAAAATATAGTCCTATTCTAACTGTAACTGTGTGAAGATACTAAAAGGATTGAAATGTCCCAGAAGCAAATAAATTTGGCATCATATATTAAATATTTAACCTGGCCATGTGTAGATTAACTTTTCGAGGAGGGAAAATCAAGTTGAATTCTAATCCCAAATGCATGTTTTTCTTAGGGAGAAATATTCTGAGCACATGTAAAACACCTTATGTGGCAGCTGCCTCCCTCCATAGCTTGGGGATAACAAAGGGAAAGGGTTAGGATTAGTAGAATCTACTAATAATCTGATCACTGTTTTAGTGAAATAATAATTTCTACTAAAGAGTCCCCCCTTAGGCATGGCTGTCCTTCTGAAGGTTGGTCAGCTAGTAGGTGTTGTGCCCATTTCAAGCTTCATGACTTTTCTAGTCTAGTTTGTTAGTCAGTTTCATTAGGCTCCCATGTGACATAAACCCAATTTGAAATAAAGAACAAGAAAGTTATCAGCTCAAGAAACCAAACTATGATACAGTCAAGCTTTTGTAAACTCAAGCCATTTCAGTTATTTCAAGCCAGGAACTAACTATATACTCTCTCTGTCTCAGTTGTGTTTCTTTTTCAGTGCAGGCTTTATTTTCAGCCATTGCATACTTGCTTGCTTCTTGCAGCTAGACCAATGGATGCCAGCAGCTTCTAGGCTCATTTTCTCATTACCAGGAAAGAGGAAAAGACTTGCCCCTTGCTCTAGAACTTTGATTGTTATCCTTAGGTCATATACCTATCCCACCCACCCCCCCAGATGGGTGTAGCCAGAGGATTGAGTTACTAAATTTAGTCCAACTAGGATTAGATGGCCATCATTTGCCCAGTCATTGTGACTGAAGAAGCAGAGTCTTTAGTCATTGCCCTGCTTGGTGAGGAAGGAGGTCCTTGAAGAGTAGGGTCTGTTGCCTGAGAAGAGAAGAATGCTGGGCAGACAGAAACTAGAGATGTTCAATATATTTGGTTTGCACAAAACTTAACTAGGCTATGTGAACAAATAGGCTGACTGGTTGGAATGAGGGTATGTGAAAGCGTTCTGAAATGATCTGCCAGGACATGTCTTTCCTAGAGAAGGGAATTACAGTTGGGTTATAACTTGATTGTATTAGAAAAATAAACCATCCTACAGAGACTTAGCACTTTACAATATAAAAGTAATTTCACTTGCTTATTGGAGCTAAAAGTAATTCAGTAGATATTTTTTATTTCCATTTTAGAGAGTACATACAGACTGAGTCTCAGAAAAAAAAGATAAAACTTTCTTGCTCAGGATCCCGTAACCATTGAGTGAGACAGTAGCTTTCAGTTTGGAATCAGTAGTCCTAACTTCAAATACTTATTCCATTACACCTGATTCTCCATGCTACTGAAAGTACAATTTTTTAAAGGATTATTCTTGCCCAGTTTTAGGAAGTGTTTTTGTATGTGACTTTTAAATTGTATTAACAAATCAATTGTTCCCAATTTATTAAAGTTATGACTTCACAGATTCCTCAGGCCACCACAAATCTGCTCTTGTTGACCTAATCTCTCCTAAAGGGCAACATGATTTTTAGGCTTTCTTAAAAATGTGTGGCATCTCAGCTGGGTGCAGTGGCTCATGCCTGTAATCCCACCACTTTGGGAGGCCAAGGCAGGCAGATCACCAGGTCAGGAATTCTATCTTATCAACATGGTGAAGCCCTGTCACTACTGAAAATACAAAAATTAGCTGGGTGTGGTGGTGCACACCTGTAATTTCAGCTACTCAGGAGGCTGAGGCAGGAGAATGGCTTGAACCTGGGAGGCGGAGGTTGCAGTGAGCTGAGATTGTGCCGCTGCACTCCAGTCTGAGGGACAGAGCAAGACTCCACCTCAAAAAAAAAAAAAAAATGTGGTAGTGTGTATCTCTTAATAATTAGGTACTCCATTGAATTATATATTTCTAGATAGCCTAGAATCAATGGCTTAAAGTAGTTTCAAACCCACCAAAGACTGATGTATTCTTTTGCCTTATGTTCTCTAATCTGATTCACCAGAAAGGAAAAAGGCGTATAACAATTGAAGTTTTTAGATATTAAATTTATTTATATCTTTAGCAGTTTATTGGTATTACTGTTTGTTTCAGATGAAAAGAAACAGATGGTTGCAAATGTGGAGAAACAGCTTGAAGAAGCAAAAGAACTGGTATGTCCGACTTGGTAATGTATTTTAACACACAGCCAGAGCCGTTTAAGCTGATGCCTTCCTCTGACCTGTTTTATACATTTTGGAAATGTGAAGTCTTGCTTATTAGCATTTTATTCAGAATTCGTCCATTTTTAAATTTAAGAGATTTTAATAACTTCTTGGGATTTTATTCTTCTTAATAAAGGTGATTCATTAAATATTTCTAATTTTTATTCCTTCGTAATATGTTTCACAACAGCTAAAAATAGCTAATGCTGGATAAAGGCTTACTGGGTACCAGACACTTGATTAGAAATATTACGTGCTTTATAATATTTAATTTTCTCCAAAACCATGTGAGACAATATTATTTGTCAAAAACAAAGAGTCTCATATTTTCTCCTATTTGCAAGCTCCCAAATGAACTTGCTACAGTTTCATAGATGACTGTAGAAGACATGAGACTCCTAGGTCAGAGACAAAAGATTTTTATGACCCACAACAAAAGCAGCTGCCAATGTTTCAGGCTGGTTGCATCAGTTCCTGAGTTTCAATTCCCGCAGTGGTGATGCAGGCAGGCCTAGATGTATGCTTACAGCAGCGTTAGAATGCCTTGTAGGCAAGAGCCTAGGAAATGTGCCACTTTATAGCAACCTATAAGCAAGGCTGTTGTTTGTCCCAGGGGCACACATTATTTCTTGTCCCTGAGCTCCTTGCAAACACAATCCTAAAAAATGGCTCAGACAGAGTGCTTAGGACCTTGTATTCTTGGCATACCAGGCAAAACATGTAGGAGTATGAGAGAATTTTGGCAAAGTGATTCTCAACACTGCTACTACTCCCATTTTATGGATGGGGAGACTGAGACTTAAAAGATTAAGTAACTTGTTGGAGGTCCCAAACCCTATTAAGTGATAAAAGATTTGTTCCTAGTTATGCTGAACCCAGAGCTCTGGTTCATCCAGTACTTTTTTTTTATATGAGTGAATTAGTAAAACATGGAGCAAAAAAGGGCTAAAAGTATTATATCTTAATTTGGGGCTTTAAGAGCCAACTACTACAAGCGTGACTCAACTTGTTACGATGCGTTGTGGCCCTGGATGAGTGTGTTGCTTTTCTGTTTTATTTTATTTTTGATGCAGAGTCCTACTCTGTCACCCAGGCTGGAGTACAGTGGTGCAGTCTCGGCTCACTGCAACCTCCGCCTCCTGGGCTCAAGCAGTTCTCATGTCTCAGTGCTCCAAGTAGCTGGGATTACAGGCGAGCGAATACTACACCCGGCTAATTTTGTTTGTTTGTTTGTAGAATGGGGTTTTGTCATGTTGGCCAGGCTAGTCTTCAACTCCTGGCCTCAGGTGACCTGCCCACCTCCCAGAGCTCTGGGATTACAGGCCTGAGGCACTGTGCCCAGCCCATACTCCCCTTTCGATGAGGACCTTGGGAGAAAAACGTTTTTTGTTTGACTATTTGGGATTAATTGTGTTTCTGCTGAACATCTGGTTTGCATTAATCTCTTGGACACTACACATCTTGTAATGATCTTTTCTCCCGCTCTATACTGGCCAAATAAATGTGACAACAAGGAACAGGTGCATATGAGCCTCATTCTTGGTTTCATTCTATGTGCTTGTTGTGTTTCCTTTTTCTTTCTTACCTACTTTTAATTTAGTTTTAAGTATCCATGTAAAATATCTTCAACAAAAATATACTTAAGTCTCAGATTTTGACTTGCATGTATATTTGCAGTTATTTTTCTGGATGGTCCTCTTTACCTTGTTAGAACTAAATAATTGATGATTTCAGAGAGTTGCTTTAAATAATTGTCTTGCTAAGTAATGATTTCATTTATTGGTGCTTCACATGTATGTTGTCATAATGATTTAAACTATCACCATTGAAATCAAGGCTCATTAAAAATTTTACTTTATAATTAATTGAAGCCTATTCACTGAAATGTGATTATCTGGTTCATCTGTATGCTACTATAGTTACTCAGTTGCTAACACTGAATACAAGTTTTATTAATGATAAGCTTATAGTGTTCTAGAAGGAACTTATTAGAAACCTTTAAAAGGTAAACTCCATGGCAACATCTTTGCATGTGATTTTAACAGACATGGCCTGGGCCAATTTGTTGTTGTTACTAGTTTTTATTTTATTTGTTTATTTAGAGACAGAGGCTTGCTCCGCCACCTAGGCTGGAGTGCAGTGCATGATCTTGGCTCACTGCAACCTCTGCCTTCCGGGTTCAAGCAATTCTCCTGTCTCAGCCTCCCGAGTAGCTGGGACTACAGGTGCCTGCCACCACACCTGGCTAATTTTTGTATTTTTATTAAAGATGGGATTCCACCTTGTTGATCAGGCTGGTCTTGAACTCCTGACCTTGGGTGATCCACCCACCTCCACCTCTCAAAGTGCTGGGATTACAGGCATGAGGAATCGTGCCTGGCCTGGTTTTTATTTTTTAATGGCAACTACAAGTAAGCCACTTCTGCTGTCTTGTATAGTGCTTTCTGTATCTTCCTTATCACTTGCAATCGTCATTACTAGAGTTAATTTTAATCTGGCAATTATCAAGTAAGAAACACTGTTCTAAGTACATTATGGGAATTGCCTCATTTAATTTCCACAGCTGCCCTATGAAAAATATACTATTTTATAAGTGGGAAAAATAAGGCACAGAGACATTAAGAAACCTGTTCAAGATTCCATGACTAATAAGTAGTAGAGCCTATGATGTAAACATGAGATTCTGGCTTCAAAGCCTATGTCTAAACCATTATAGTATTTCTGCATTGCTGCCAATTAAACTCTTCTGTGTTGTATCCAGAGCGTTATCTGATAGCAGGTTGTTAAAAAAAAAAAAGTGCCCTGCTGTGATTTCATTGAGCTATATGTAATGTAGCATATTACTGTATCCATTTAGTGCCGTATCAATGTGATTATAAAGTATTGAGAGTTAGGCTGAAGGTAAAGATCACATGTTGGTTTGTACATGATTTTCCTAATTAGAAAACACCTGCCAGAGTAAACGTCACCAACTCAGGCTTGGCTGGTGTTTCATGGATTAACCATTGGAAATAATAGCTTATGTTTTCTTCCCGTAGTGGTGGAGGTTAATGGTCAGAAGATAAAACCAGGTTGGATTGAATGATAGGCTATTTCAAGTATATTGAAATCAAATTATTAAAAATGTGTGGATTAATGTGTATCTTTTATTTTATTTTATTATTATTTTTTGAGATGGAGTCTTGCTGTGTCACCCAGGCTGGATTGAGTGCAGTGGTGCAGTCTCAGCTCACTGCAACCTCTGTCTCCCAGGCTCAAGCTATTCTCTTGCCTCAGCCTCCTTAGTAGCTGGGATTACAGGTACCCGCCACCAAGCCTGGCTAATTTGCTATTTTTAGTAAAGACAGAATTTTACCATGTTGGCCAGGCTGGTGTCAAACTCCTGATCTCAAGTGATCCACCTGCCGTGGCCTCCCAAAGTACTGGGATTACAGATGTGAGCCACTGTGCCTGGCCAAATGTGTATGTTTTAAAAGAAATTATTGGCAAAGCAAGTACTCAGACACAATGTGTGTCACTTGGCAAGTACTCAGAATTGTAACTAAACAAAAATTAAGTGTAAAAGTAGTTTCAATGTTATTTGATCATTCAGCACGCTGAGCCTGGTTCTTCAGTTGGTACATTCAGCACCCTGACCCTGGTTCCTCAACTACAAAATGAGGAATTAGAATTAGATCCTTTCAGCTCTAAACATTTGTTGAAATAAGAATAAGAATGTTTCTCTCCCACTTCTAGCTTGAACAGATGGATTTGGAAGTACGAGAGATACCGCCCCAAAGTCGAGGGATGTACAACAACAGAATGAGAAGCTACAAACAAGAAATGGGAAAACTGGAAACAGATTTTGTGAGTCAAATTCGACCCTTTGTCATATTTACTTTTTTTAAAAAATTGTTTCCTCCTCATTTCTCAGTCAGCATTAAATGTACAGTCTTTTGGGCTCATGTAGAAGACAGGCAACAGCTATCATTCTTTAAGACTTAGGGAGCTCAAAAATGGTTGTAGAGTTAGCTAATGGTGGAATTTAAGGTATGTTGGATTAATGACTCACAAATAGATCCAAATCATGCGGCCCTTTGAGTCTGAATGGTATTTACTGGTACCTAGCATTTATTAAAAATTTGAAACTCAGTTTCTGGCCTTTCAAGGTTTGCAGCCTTTAAGATGCAGCCTTTACAATTGCACTCCTGGATCTCAGGGGCTCATAATCTCCTGAAAGCATATCTGTATTTTTGGATGCATGTTTCTATGTCTATTTTTTTCCTGGGATAAATTCTATAGACTTAATTAGATTTTTTAAAGGATATATTATGTCCTTCCCCCAAAAAGATAAAAGAAACTACTTTCAATTGACAATTTATATGTGATCTTTTATATTAATTGCCCATGAGAATATTTAGCTGTCTCCTCTTATATATCTGGCATTTAACTTTATCTGCTTTATAGCAAATTGAAGAATATAAATGTAAAGGCATAATGTTGAAGTTATTAGTAATTAAAAATTAATGGGAGTAGAAAAGATACAGCTGAGTAATTCCACTCCTGCATATATATCCAAAAAAAAAAAAAATTGAAAGCAGAGTCTCAGAGAGAGATTTGTACATCCATATTCATAGCAGCATTTTCACAGTAGCAGAGAGGTGGAAGCAACCTAAGCATCTGTTGTTAAATAAATGGATAAACAAAATGTGATGTATCCATACAGTGGAATATCATTCAGCCTTAAAAAAGGACGGAAATTCTAACATATGCTACAACTTGGATGAACCTCGAGGACATTATGCTATGTGAAATAAATCACTCACAAAAACAAATACTACATAATTCCACTGATTTGATGTATCTAGAGTAGTCAGATTCATAGAAACAGAAAGTAGAACAGTAGTTACCAGGGACTTGTGGGGAGGGAGAAATGGAGAGTTGTTTCATTGGCAAAGAGTTTCAGTTTTGCGAGACGGAAATTTGCAAAAAGTTCTGGAGATTGGTTGCTCAACAATGTGAATATATTTAACACCACTGAGCCATACAATTAAAAATGGTTAAGATGGTAAACTTTATGTTATGTGATTCTACCACAATTAAAAATAAAAAGATACAATTCTCAGCAAACTGACACAAGAACAGAAAATCAAACACCACATGTTCTCACTCATAGGTGGGTGTTGAGCAGTGAGAACACATGGACACAGGGAGGGGAGCATCACACACTGGGGTCTGTAGGGGGGAAATAGGGGAGGGAAAGCCTGGGGGTGGGGAGTTGGGGAGAGAGAGCATGGGGAGAAATGCCAGATATAGGTGATGGGGAGGAAGGCAGCACATCACACTGCCATGTGTGTACCTATGCAACAGTCTTGCATGTTCTTCACATGTACCCCAAAACCTAAAATGCAATTTAAAAAATTGAAAAAAATAAAAATAGAAAGATACAGATAAAAGTATTTTTGAAACCCTGCTAATGATAAAAGGACAAAGAAGTTAACACAGTAACAACTAACTGTTCTTATAGGCTGGCACAGGAAATCAGGTTTTCAGCAAATTAATTAAATTTCATATAACTCACATTAAAAAAAAAATACAGGTGAGGAGATATGTGAGCCTTACCTATGAGCAACAAGTCATGTGTTGATTGACAAATCAGCTGTATTTTTTAATCTGGGGCCCAAATTCACAAGGAATGTCAAGAATGTGTAAGGATCTTTCCACCTCAGTTCTTGCCTTAGGTGTTTTGCTTTTGGTGGGTATGCCTTCTAGACAATCGTATACTTTTCCATTACAAGACCAACATCAATGGACCTGGTAGATATCCCTCCTAGAGTCTGGAAATAGCGTGATTTGCAGTTATGCATGCTTGTTTTGTATTTGAATGGCTATTATCCTGAGAAGTTGAGGTGGATAACATATCAATTACTCTGATGCCTTTTAGACCGTGCTCCTGTTAATTAAAAAAAAACAAAACAAAAACTCACGATGGGCCCAAATTGATAAAATAAATGTATATGCCTAGCTAGGTCTGTGCTCTGTAAAATTTTCTCCCACTGCTTTGTGAAAGGCTAGTTTTGTTAAGCAAGAAATATGAAATATAGTGAGAAAATTGGGTTAAGAACTTGACAACTCAAATTTATACTGAGAAAATTCTAACTAAAGTTAAAGTTTCTATATAAATGATGAAAGCAAAATAAAATATTGATAAGGATTGTTTTAGCTTGCTTACCTCATTTTTAATGGAACTCTTTTCTGAAGATTTTTCTTATGGGTTCTAGAAAAACAAAGGGTATGAATTGGCGAGGGCTGCGACAGCAAGGTACCACAGACTGGGTGGCTTAAACGACAGACGTTTGTTTTCTCACAGTCCCGGAGCCTGGAAGTTGGAGTTGAAGGTGTTGGCAGGTGCGGCCCCTTTTGAGGCCTCTGTCCTTGATCTTTAGATGGCTTCTCCCCACGTCTTCCCTCTACACTTTTCCGTGGCCCAGTTTCCTCATCGTATAAGACATCAGTCATACTGCATTACAGCCCATGAGAATGACCTCATTTTAATGTAATCACCTCTTTAGAGACCCTATCTCCAGAGACAGTTACCTTTTCAGTATAGGAAGCAGGACTCCAACATAGAGATTTAGGAGAGACATAATTCACTTCACAACGTTTAGGTGAGTTTTAATCTTTTATTCTTAATTTTTTTTCCAGAAGTTAAATTACTTCTGTGGCTTAGAAGTCAGCTAACCCAATCTTTAGTCTTTTTTTGTTTCCCAAAGAGTACAATAGTGGGTAAAGTCCTTTAGGTGTTTGGAAATTGTATGCTTGGATAAGTGTTCCTTTCTGGGGTATATTTTCTATTATAAAGAAAAATGGAAGCAACAACTATGAACTAAAAGTTTATTCTCTCAGCCGGGGATGTCCAATGTTTTGGCTTCCCTGGGCCACGTTGGAAGAAGGATTTTCTTAGGCTACACATAAAATATCCCAACACTGATGACAGCTGATGAGCTAAAATAATAATAATAATAGGGCATGGTGGTGCGTGCCTGTAATCCCAGCTACTCAGGAGGCTGAGGCAGGAGAATTGCCTGAACCCAGGAGGCGGAGGTTGCGGTGAGCCGAGATCGCGCCATTGCACTCCAGCCTGGGTAACAAGAGCGAAACTCCGTCTCAAAAAAAAAAAAAAAAAAAAAAAAAAAAAAAAAAAAATAAAATAAAATAAAATAAAATGAAATAAATAAATAAATAACAAAAACCCTCATAATATCTTAAGAAGTTTATGAATTTGTGTTGGGCCGCATTCATAGTTATCCTGGGCTGCCGGCAGGCTGCTGGCCATGGGTCAGACAAGCTCGATCTAGGCTATCGTTAATAATTCATGTATTTATGAGTATATCTGCTACCACAGCTTTCTTCTACCATGTTAGGAAACATCTTTCACCACCACTACTTCTACTGAATAGTGATTTATAGTTTGTAAAGTACTTTAGCATACATGATTTCATTTCATTGTGTGAAGAATAGACAGAGCAGATATGGATTACTATCCTCATTTACACATGATAGAACGAAGAGGCTTAGATTAGTTATAGATTTCATGCAGCAAGTGTTTCTTGAGTACTATGGTGTGTCAGGCACTGTCCTAGGTGCTAGAATGCAGCAGGGGTGAACAAGATAAAGTTCTTATTGTCATGTATTTTAAATTATAGCGGGAGAAAAATCTAGTGGGGAAGGCAATAAACAAATACATACATATTATCATTTCAGGTAGAGATACATTCTATAAAAAAAAAATAAACTGAAGAAAAATAAAGCGAGTAAATGAATAGAGAGTGACCAGCGAGGCGACTGTGGCCATTTTTGCTCAGGTGTTCTCCGAGGTTTGAGTGAGAGAGGAAGAGAGGTGGCTGTGGTTGCAGAGGATGCAGAGGAGTGATCTATGAGCATTGTAGGCTGTGGCAAAGACCTTGGCTTCTGTTCTGGGTTGATGGAAAGCCACTGGAGGACTTTGAAATGTGAACGGTCCTTTGACTCTGTTTTACAGCCTTCTTCATTTTACCACACCATCTCACAGAATGTATTTGAATAGAGTGTAGAAAATATTGACATAACTCCCTTGTTTTTTTTTTTTTTTTTTTTTTTTTGAGACGGAGTTTCACTCGTTACCCAGGCTGGAGTGCAATGGCACGATCTCGGCTCACCGCAACCTCCGCCTCCTGGGTTCAGGCAATTCTCCTGCCTCAGCCTCCTGAGTAGCTGGGATTACAGGCACGTGCCACCATGCCCAGCTAATTTTTCGTATTTTTAGTAGAGACGGGGTTTCACCATGTTGACCAGGATGGTCTCGATCTCTCGACCTCGTGATCCACCCGCCTCGGCCTCCCAAAGTGCTGGGATTACAAGCTTGAGCCACCACGCCCGGCCTTCCCTTGTTTTAATTATTGTTTATTTTATGTATTTAATCCCTTTTTAAAATGGAGAATATCTATTTAAAGGTATTTGGTAAGTTTCTTATACTGACATATCATACCTAGAGATACTGAATTTCGAGAAAGAATAGCAGAGATGGTTCTTCAGCTCTATGCGTATTGCCATTGAAGCCGTTCTCCTATTCCCCTTGTACATAGCAGGACTTTGGGGGAGCATGTATGTGCATGGGGAGAGGCAGAGGACAAGTCAGTACCGTATTGTTTGACTCCTTTGTCCACTTGCTTTCTTTCACTAGCCCCTCATTCTCCTCTGCCTACCCTTTGGATGCCTGGATTCTTCAGGCTTCCTCACTACTTCCTCCACTGACCTCCTCTGTGTGTGACTGTCTTTCCCGCAGCTTCCATGGCTGCATCTGTACTGACTGGTATTTGTAGCCGAGA